AAAACAGGTCTTGAAGTGAATGTAGAAATGTATTAAATGATATAATACATTTAAAAAATCCAGTGTGGGTTAAGAGGCATTTTCCTATATAGCCGAATTTTCTGAACTGCATTTTTTTGCATTCTAAAATGATATGGATTTCTTGGCCACTATTCTTGTTACGATTCTTTATAAGAAATCATCCCAAGAATTAGTGGAATAAAACAACCACTGAATTGTGCTTATGGATTGTGTGGGTCAAGAATTTGGATTGATGGGCCTCCCCTGGTGGCGCAGCGGTTGAGCGCTGGGCTGTGAAGCTGCCCGCAGCCTCTGCAGCACCAGTTAGATCCCCGGCCACCGGCGAGGGTCCCACAGGGCGCGAAAGACCTCTCCTGTCTTGCCCGCGGCTCCCCTCAGCAGTGTATTTTGTCAGTCTGCCTGTTCTGTTCCACGCTCTGGCTCTGGTGAATTCTCTCACCCTCTGTACTCAGTGCTTGTATAAATAAATAAATAAATCTTTTTTTTAAAAAAAGAAAAGAATCTGGATTGGCTACCATAGGGGTAACTTGTCTTGGCTTCGTAATATCTGGGTTCTCAACTTGGAGAATCCTATGACTAGAGGGAACCAGACCACTAGGGAAATGGATCATCTAGCGGCATCTTCATTCACATATCTGGTGGTTGATGCTGGTTGTTGCTGTCACCCTTTGTTAATGACCTTATCATGTTCTACTGGTCAAAACCATCGCAGCCATTCCATTTTCAAAGAAAGAGGACATAAGTTCCACCTATTGATTCGAGGAAGATAAAAGAATTTGAAGATATGAAATAGAATTTGTGTAGACATCACTTCTGTCTCCCCAGACACTGTCAACAAGAACACCTTTACATGGCCTCTCTAGATGACTTCACAGTATGGTGGCCTCACAGGAGCAGTACTTCTTACATGTTATCTCGGTGCTCCTAACACAAGTTTACAATGAATAAGGCAAAGTCCATATCAGTTTTTACGACCCAACATTGGAAGTCACTTCCTGCATTATGGGTGCTCCTATTGTGCCCAGATGCCCTTCTCATTATCTATTAGTACAAATGCTCACAAGCACTTTGAGATTCAAAGGGAGATGACATTGATCCTATCTATTGATGGGATAAATATCAAATAATCTGTGAATATGCTTCAAACTCTTTAGTCACTTATCTGTTATAAATACAATCATTGGAATACTCACTCACTGACTAACCAAGGTGATAACACCAATGGCATTTGTTGACCTTTTCATCAAATATATACGGAGTGCTTACTCTGGGACAGGCACAGAGGCTCTGGAAGACAGACATAAAAAACATAAATATTCAAACAATTACATAATTACTACTTTTCTAGGTCTAAGAAAAATGATGATATATTGAAATGAAATTTTGAGGAAGAACATTTTAAGCAGAAGAAATAGCATATGCAAACATTCTGAGGGAGAAGCAAGTGAACAGATCCAAGAAACTAAAAGAGAATACCAAATGTGACCACAGAACATAGAGAGAATAATGGTACATGATAAAGTTGGTACCAAAACTTAACAGTTTAACTTATTTCCCCTTTAACCAGACTTCTACTTCTATGAGGCACTCCCTTTCACTTTCCCTTCATATTACTTGTTGTTAGAAGGACCTTAATAAGGGAAACATAACAATTAAGTAAAGAAAGAAATATGGATTTTGCAGAAAGAGTAAGGTAGATCCAGTCTTACCTTATTGCTTGGGTTGCCATTAAAAGCCAGATGATGGACAGCAAGATCTAAAGTCTCCACAAAGCTGTTTAATCAACTAACATACGAAATACATTGGGGCCCTGTCTTTATTTTGCATTCCAAAGAATAGCAAAATGAGACCCTAGCAAAACTGGGAAGTCTCAGAAACATTATCTTCATGTTTCTAGATTCTGCTTTCAACTATTAGACTTTGTATGAGTTATTTAACTAGCTCTTTGGTCAGTCCCTCTTTACTACATCAAATCAGGAAAGGACCCAGTGAAATCCGATGATGATGATGATGATGATGACAAAGAAGACAATGACAATGATGCCCAAGATAATAGCAAACATGTATTAAATACCCCTTGTGTGCCAAGCTAAGCTAGTGAGGAAAAGTATAGACACTAGTATTTCCATTTACACATGAGGGATTTAAAGATGAGAGTAGCTAATGTATTTGTTTAAGGTCATAGAGCCAGGACTCACAAGCTAGTCTGAGTGGTGAACCCAATCTTTTAATCACTATTGAATACTGTAATTCTTCCAGATAGCAAAAAATACAAATAGGCACCTGGATATTTTACATATGTAGTGCTCCTAAAGCTGAATATTTACCTGAATTTTTCACTTTTATTCAGATGTCTGGGTTCATATAGGCCAAATTGAATGGTTGCCAGTGTGAAAGTATCCATCCTTTCTTAAGGCATTGCCTTTAAATCCTAATGTAGGTCTTCCTCAAAGGATTTCTTATTTGCATTCTGGCTTAAGAATCAAGTCCTTAAACTTACACTAAAACACCATTTTGAGCTTCAGTTATCCTTGGAGAACATGGCATATAATCAGCTTCCTTAAGTACTTTGAATTAAGTGATATGCAGAGAACAGCTTGTCTTTAATAGATCTCCTTACTTGATCTCTGTGGGACCCTGTCTCAGGTATTAAAGAGAAGAAACCCAATTAGCTCTAATTGCTGCTCTCTATGGATATGTTGCCTTCTCATTGGCAGATGGCAGCTGGTATTGCAGAGAAGGCAATAACTGGACTTTTCCAGGTGGAGGTATCCCTCCTCCTTCTTCACCACTTTTATTTCCCCCACAATGCATCCTACAATCCACATGTCTTTAAGACCTATAGCTCCATATTTAGAAAATGGGTATGGGCCTCCCCGGTGGCGCAGCAGTTGAGCGCTGGGTTGTGAAGCTGCCCGCAGCCTCGGCGGCGCCGGTTCGATCCCCGGCTGCTCTCCAGCCACCAGAGGAGGGTCCCACATGGCGCGCAGACCTCTCCTGCTGCCCGCTGCTCCCCTCAAAGTGTACTTCAGTCCTTCTGCCTGCTCTGCTCCCCGCTCTGGCTCTGGTGGATTCTCTCACCCTCCCACGCTTCTGACTGTACCCAGTGCATGTATAAACAAACAAACAAATAAATAAATAAATAAAACATGCCTCTAAAAAAAAAAAAAAAAAAAAAAAGAAAATGGGTATTAGAAATTGATGATCCCTTCCATAGGTCAGCCCCATTCCTAGGAAGTCAAGTCACATGGCCTTCCCTTGGCATGGTTTAATTGGGCAAACATTAGCTACAGTTTGCATGTATGGTACTGTGTATTTTCACTGTTTAAACTGGAGAGTTTTCAAGGTAAATTCACGTAAACCTTAACCTTTTTATACCCAGATAAGTGCTACATACATAGTAGGTGTTCATATTTAAATTTATACTTAACACATTTATATGTTGAATGTATATTTAACAAATGTGTTCAAATATGAATAAATGCATTCATGGATGAATAATGTAGGCTGCCTTTCCAAGAGTTTAAGGCAATGCCTGTCTCACTTCATGCCCAGGCCTTTGCTTGCTCCTATGGTTGCACTACCGTGGTGGACTGACAATGATATCAATCATTCAGCTCACACTCTATTTTCCCCTTTGGGTCTTCCATTCTAGAAATGGGAATACATCAAGGTGTTAAGAATTGTTATGCTCAACGGCTCTTGAGCTCCCCTATCTTGGATGATGGTAACAAATATTAACTTAAACATCTATGCTATGCACATATTTTTGGGTATTTATGGCATGGTAGAAGAAATACAGTAGTAAGTGGCAACAAGTTCCCTGCTCTTAGAAAGCTTATAACTTACCTTTGAGAGAAGAAAAGTCTCCCAAGTATCTAGACATGTTTCCATGCTGGTATAAAAGTCTGCTGTTTAACAATTTTGCTGTTGTATAATTTACAATAATTTGTTAATTTTGATGACTTTTCCATAGGTATTTATTTACAGTATTCCCAACTTATGGTATCCTTCCATTTAGTTTCCTTACCAAGAACAAGAGGCACTGATATTGCCAAATTCACACGTCTCCTTCCAGAATAGTCTATAAATCTACAATTATAGATAAATGTTGCTTCTTTTATTTTTGTTACACAAATGATGCCATACTATATACACTGTATTACACCTTGTTTTTCATACTTACAATATATTGTGGAGAGTTTTCATATCAACAAGTGCACAGCTTACTCATTCTCTTTTGGTTTTTTGTTTATGCATATGTTATAGTCCATGTATGGATGTGTACTTAACCAGTTAGGTTGGCTGTAATCTTTTGTTTTAAGAAATAATGCTGAAATAAAAAACTATAACAAATTTTAACCTCATGACAATTTTAACTCATGTATTTTTATCAAGACTTTAGGTGGAGAAAGGAGACAGACTGGGATTTAGATTGCATTACAGTTTTTTTCTCCTTTTCATCTCATATATAAACTCAGGCTCCCCTAAGAAAAGTCATTTGCAGCATGGTTTTCCATGATCTGTTATGTGCACTCAAATGTTCATGGCCCTCTGTTAGTGGGAAGATCAGGATTTTTTGCTAAACAAATCTTGAACTCAATTTCATTTTCTGGTTTCATGACTGTCCAAGTGGATGGTCTTAACAAGTGAATTAATCTCTGGGACACACGTGTGATATCTGTAAAATGGGGATAACAATAGTGCCTACCTCACAGTGTTGCTGTGATTATTTAGCACAATAATCCTTGTACAAATCTTAGCATAGTGCCAGGCAACTACAAAATGTTCAACAAACAAAATCATCACAAACTTCCTGTTCATTACTGTGGAGAAAATGGATGGAAAAAAGGAAAACTGATAAATTTCATAGCAACTATTATTTACAATGTAGAAAACTTTTGACTTTATTGGGGTTTTTAGGATGTGCCAAGAACCACTAGAAAATTCAAACGTCCTTTTGATAAAGACTATATGCCTCATTGCATCAATTTTCTTAGAGCTACTTTTACATCCTTGTTCCTTAATGTGTAAATAACAGGGTTGAGAGCAGGGGTGAGTACTGTATACAGAAGGGAAAGCAACTTCAGTAAGTGTTCATGCTGAGGGCCTGATGGGAAGCCGTAGACAATGCCCAGTGTCCCATAATACAGACTGACCACTGTCAGGTGGGAAGAACAGGTGGAGAAGGCTCGCTGCTTCCCTGTGTTGGAAGGAATCCTCAGAATGGTGGAGATGATATGAGTATAAGAAGCCAGGGTCAGCAGGAATGGGCCAAGGGCAAATAAGGAGGTGCATATAAAAGAGGTCATCTCAGCTACTTGAGTATCAGTACAGGCCAGCTTCATGATGGGCTTCAAATCACAGAAGAAGTGATCGATCTCATTGGCGGTACAGAATGTTAACTGAAAGATGAGGACCATAAGAAGGATGGGTGCTAGAAATCCAGCCACCCAAGAGGCACCAGCTAACTGTAAGCAACCCCAGTGGTCCATGATGCTGGAGTAGTGCAATGGGTTGCAGATGGCTATGTAGCGATCGTAAGACATAACAGCCAGGAAGAAGCATTCAGTAGCCACCAGCGCAGCAAAAAAATAAAACTGGCAAGCACAGCCTGGGAAAGAAATAGGCACATGAGTTGACAGAAATGTTCTCAGCATCACGGGCTCAATGGTAGTCGTGTAACCAATCTCGAGAAAGGAAAAGTGAGCAAGAAAGAAATACATGGGCGTGTGAAGAGAGCGATCAGCTGACACCACAGTTAGGATCACAATGTTGCCCATGACAGTCACCACATAGATGGCCAGAAATATCCCAAAAAGAAGAAACTGAAAGCCATGGAGATCCCCAAAACCCAAAAGGATAACTTCTGAAATTTGAGTCATATTTTCTTCCTCTGTGCTAGTCATGGCTTGGATCTAAAAAAAAATATGAAGAATGGCCATTGATCAGACGTTATTTTTAGGAAAAAATCAAACAGCTCAGAGGCATCATACGTATCAAGCATAACTGGTAACTGGCTTGGATTGTCATCTTAATTAATAAATTGACCACACATCCCCAGGGGCCATTTAGAAAGTTACTTCATGACTGCAATTAACCTTTCATATGTAGAATATTTGGGCTCTTGAAACTGAATATGACACATAAATATGCACATTTCCCCCATTATTTTTTTCTATAAAATACAGCTAAATGTTCTAAGTTTGGAATTCTTATTATGGTGGTTTTTACTGCAGCCAGTGGTGTTATCACCAGCAGTGAATATTCTGAATCACCTATGAATAAATGTGTCAGGTGTTTGATCAAATCTCTTCCTATTTTAGAATTTCATACCAATTAATTATATGAGCTGAATTTCATTATGCCAAAGGATGTATAATCCTTAAAACTTATTTTATATAGCAAAGTCTCTAATCATTATTAGATGAGGCACATAGAGTGAAAGTAAACTAGTGATGGGAGGCTACAGAATGGCATAGTTGAAAGTGACATACCTGAATTCAAATTCCAGCTCTGCTTCTTAATAACTGTGTTCTTTTACACAAGTCACGTCATTTATCTGACATTTTCCTCATGTATAGAATAACATGTTAATATTGTGTAATATATTTTGCACAACCACTTGTCCATAATAGGCATTTAATATATTCATTCATCCACTCAACAATATTTGATGAGTGCTACTATGTGCCAGTTTCTTTGAATGATGCTTAAGTAAACTAGTGAAAAAAGTCAATAATTTGGGCCTCCCCTAGTGGCCCAGGCCGTTGAGCGCCCTGCTGTGAAGCTCTCCGCAGCCTCTGCAGCACTGGTTCGATCCCAGCCAGCCGGCGAGAGTCCCACATGGCATGGCAGACCTCTCCTGTCTCGCCTGCTGCTCCCCTCAGCAGTGTATTTCATCAGTCTGCCTGTTCTGTTCCCTGCTCTGGCTCTGGTGAATCCTCTCACCCCCACACCTCCGGCCTGTACCCCAGTTCTTGTATGAATAAATAAGTAAATAAATCTAAAAAAAAAGATTCATTTATTTATTTATACAAGCACTGGGTACAGTCAGAAGCGCGGGAGGGTGAGAGAATTCACCAGAGCCAGAGTGGAGAACAGTACAGGCAGACCCACGAAACACACTGCTGAGGGGAGCAGCGGGCGCAGCAGGAGAGGTCTGCACGCCATGTGGGACCCTTGCCCGCAGCCAGGGATCGAACCGGCGCTGCAGAGGCCATGGGCAGCTTCGCAGACCAGCGCTCAACCGTTGCGCCACCAGGGGAGGCCCAATAAATAAATCTTAAAAAAAATCAATAATTTTTTTTTACGTGTCAGTAATACTCTACATCTCATGGCGTTAATATTTTAGTGGAAGAGAAAGAAGGGAAAAAAGACCAGCAAGTGATCTGCAAAATAATTTTGAGTTGTTTACCATAAATAGGAAATCTATTTGTGTGTGTGTGTGTGTGTGTGTGTGTGTGTGTCTTTGGGAGAGGTGTATTTTGGCTGATGTAGTAGAAAAGCCAAAAAAAAAAAAATTGAGACTTAAAAAATGGGAAGGAGATAGTTATGCAAGAGATGGGTGTGTTCTAGGCAGTGGGAACAGGCCTTAAGGAAAGAATGATTTAGAGTGCCAGAAAATTGAAATACTTAGATAAAACCATTAAATGGTAGACAGGGCATTTGAAAGAAATAAGAGACAGAGAGATAAAGTAGAAAGGAATAGGAAAAATAAGAAGGTGCCAGATCATTCAAGTCCTTGTAAGCTATGCTATGTAATGTAGATTTTAAATACTCTCAAGAATCCATTGGAAGGTGTTAAGCAAGATTATGATCAAACTTATACCCTAGCATCCCTTTTCATACTCTATAATAAATGAAATAGGGCTTCATGGATCATATGAGATGATTTCAATGGACCAGGTGAGAGATGGTAGCAAACTTGAATAAAACGATTGCAGAAAAGGTGGAGAGGAAAACCATTCAAGATACATTTGGTTGGTGATAGAAACCAGAACTAACTAAAAATTAGATGTGAGGAGTGATGAAAAATGAACTATCCATGATGACTCCTGGGTTTCTGGTTTGAGTAACGGGTTCCATTTACTTAAATAGTGATAACGTGGAAGGAAAGTTTACAAGAAATACAAGTTCAATTTGGATGTATTATTATATTTGAGATGTTTACAAAAATTCTGAGGGGAGAGCAGACAGCTATATTTCAGAGCACGGAGCCCAGAGGAAAGGCCTGGAATGAGATATAAATTTTGGGACCATCAGAATATAAACAGTATTAAAGGCCATGAGAATGTGTAAGTTGACCTACAGAAAGATTATGAATATAGAAGAATGTCCTACGCTAAGCTTTAAAACCCTCTTTTAAAGCCTTCCTTTAGATCTGGCAGAGGAGCAGTAAGAAAAGGAGATTGAAAAGGAGTCAGTGAAGTAGTCTGGAAACCAGAGGAAATATAATGACAGAAGCCATGTTTCAAGAATTATTGATTGTGTTTAAAACTATTGTAAGGTTAAGATGAAGACACATAATAGTCTCATATATTTGGTTACATGGATAATAAACTCAGTAGGACTGTAGAGACTAAAGGGGAACAGAGAACCTGAGGGGTAGCTATAAGACAGATGAGCATTGATTTTTACACAGATTAGAATGATCCAGCAGAGAAGGGCTATTGGTGAGGCATAAGGAGATGGGAGAAAACTCTTTTATAAAGTGAGAGGGGGTAGGATACAGAGTACAAATGGAGGGTTAATCCTTGGTGAGGGCAGGGAGTTTTCATCTTTCTAACAAGAGGAAGCCAGAGAAGATAGATGCAGTTGCAGGTAAGTTGCTATATTTAATATTAGGAAGATGCTGGACTTTACTTCTAATGGTTTCTGTTTTCTCAATGAAACGAAAGAGGTCATCAACTGAAAACAAGGGTAGTGGAGGACACGTGGCAAGTGATAGTGCAGAGGAAAACTGTACGATTGTCATGTCTGAGATGAAAAGCTGATCCTACCAGAACAAATACTATGATTTCCAGGCAGTATAGAGTGGCAGCTTGATCTTTGAGATTATGAACTAAGAAGGTGAAATGGATGGCTTTCTTGCATTATCGTCTCTGACAATGCTGAGCTGCCAAGGTGTAGTAGTCAAATAGTTGTTTTCATCTAGGTTTGGAGTTTTCCAAATAAAAACAATGGGAAAAGAGAGGGCCAAGGGGCTTGGGAGATCTTTGGGGGGAAAAGGTGTAATAAAGAACTATATGATAAATGTTAAATCTACCCATTTCCACAGGATATTAAAGACAGAAAGTACTTTAAAAATTTCATTTGATCAATCCTTTAATTTTTTAACTGAAAAAGAAGATCCAAGCAGATAGTATTTTTCTTAGAATCTCAGATGCAGGCAGTAATAGAGCTAGAACTGACACCCAGGTCTCATTTTCTAGTACTTCTTCCTTCCATTATAGCATCTTTTTGCTCTTTTTTTGGTCTCTCTTTAGTGCCCTGCCCTTAATGTGAAAAGCATAGGTATCTGAAGAAAGACTTACCTTCAATTTAGCAATTACATCCTGGACCTTAATACTTTTCAAAGAACTTTCAGATCCATTGTCATTTTTAATCTTCCCAACTATTTTCTGAGTAATTTGGGAGTGGAGCTTTTATTTGCCTCACCTGATTTTTCAGATGCGAAAACTTTCTGAAAATGACGATTACTGCACCACCACATTGCACTTGTATTTCAATTATAACTCTTTTTCCCAGAGATAAAAAGTTAGTAGTATGCATGTTGATGTAAATGTGAATTTACAAAATGCTAATTATATTATGAATGAACCAGTAGTTTTTGTCAAGTAACTGGATAATAGGAGCCGTGTCGTGATTGCCAAACTCTTAGTTGTAAAACTCTAAGAAATTAATGTAGATTTCCATGAAGGAGATGTGCAAAAATACTTGCTTTACAAAAAGGAGTTTTGGGGGAAAAGATTAAGTAAACTGCTTCAGTGCTGTGTTGGGTGTTCAGCTGAAGCAGAACCTTCTTTGGAGGAAAAGAGAGAGAAAGTACTCTAGGCACAGTAAATAATGGAAGGAAAGGTCCAGTAGTGTTAGGATCATGTTGGCTGTTGATTTTGGAAATGGTGTGAGTTAGGGAGCTGAGGGCAGAAAAAAAGAACACACATTTTTTGAAGATAGACCAGAAAAAAAATTAAATGCGTCAGAGTAGTTGAATAAGCCCAGAGAGTGATAGCACAGAGTTCAAGGGAGGAAAGGAGCCATCTGATGGGTAGTAAAGAAGCTACTATGAGTACTGGAGTGCTGGAGCAAGAATCCTAACCCCACTCTGTGAGGAGGTGAAAATTAAAAGCAACAAATATTGTCTATTACTTGAAGAAGGTGCAGTAAAAGAGAGGGAGAGAGAGCAAAAAAAAAAAAAAAAGTGGAGGTAGAAATGAGGATGGAGGGAAGGTCTTCTTGTTTATTCTTGTTTTCACTTTTTAGTAAAAGAGAAAATTGACCAGGATTTAGGCAGACTCTAAGCCAGAAAGAAGGACATATGAATGACATACAGACGGATGGATTAAAGACTAAGGAGCCGCTGGAAGGAAATTAGAGGGTTAGAGGGGGTGGAATGCAGAAATAGACAAGTGGCAGCGTCACCTTAAGGCAAGAAAGGTGAGTTTTCAGTTGTGGAGAAGGGGAGGGTGGTAAAAATGCAGGTGGATAGTGAAGATGAAGATAATTACCTCATCTCTTTCCTTCCACTTGAGTTTGGAAAGTTAAGTCATCCCTAGAAACCTAGCATGAGTCCATGGTAGAGATGGTCACGTTGCTTCCTCAAAACATGTATTTTGTTCCATCTGCACATGTGCAACCCAAAATACTTAGTGGTGCCCAGAGC